ATTTCAGCCTTTCTCATTGGACAAGCTCATCCTGAGAGGCGTGAATCTTGTCAGGCCTTAAAGGCCTCACATCAGTGACCCGCCTCCAGTCTGTGGTTCTGTTAGATTCTGAGAAGATGAGGATGTGAGCTAGCACCCCTCTAAGGACACCCAAGTCTGCGCCAGGCGTCGGGCCTTGACTTTCCCTTCACCAAGATCATCTGACTCAAACTGGTTCTTTTTCATCAACCAACTTCAGCAAAGAATCTTTAGTAATTTTGATTCAAGTTCCATATGCAAATTACCATGCTTTCACACAAAAGGTCATAAAACTCCCCAGTATTTCCAAACTCCCATTGGAATTTCAGCCTTTCTCATTGGACAAGCCCATCTTGAGAGTCGTGAATCTTCTCAGACCTTAAAGGCCTCACATCGGTGACCCGCCTCCAGTCTGTGGTTCTGTTAGATTCTGAGAAGATTTAGACTAGTTTAAGTGTTTATGTAGTTAATAAAGTCTTACTTGTATCACACCTGAGGTTGGTCACTGTTTGCTCATAATCACAGTCCCTAATCATGCAGATTTCTGCTACATGCTCTGTGTAGTATTGTACAATAAGAAAGTTATTTCCCTTAACCAGGAAATTAACGTTCTTAGAACTGACAGACAGTTGACCCTGAGAGGTCAAGTAAATACTTACAGCGGATCTAAATATTTATAATTAATTATAACTAGTTATGATTAATTATGCATATTCCCCCTTTGAGCTGATTCGCTACAATATCATAATGCACATTAATGCTTGAAAAACAAAAGCCCAAAGCACTAACATTCAAAAGTTTTTAATGTTTTTGAAAGAAGTCTCTTATGCTCACAAAGCTGCATTTATTTGATAAAAAAATACAGTAAAAATAGTAATACTGTGAAATATTATTACAATTTAAAATATCAGTTTTCTATTTTAATATATTTTTAAATTTATTTATGTGATGGAAATGCTGCTCAAGAAACATTTCTTATTATGTTGAAAACTGTTGTGTTGCTTAATATTTTTTTGTGGAAACCGTGATACTTTTTTTTCCCCATGATTTTTTTTATGAATCAAAAGTTCAAGAGTGACATTTAAATGTCTTTACTGTCACTTTCCTTGCTAAATAAAATGATTCATTTTTTAAAAATAAATTCTTAAATAAATAAATTTAACTCTTTAAATAAACTTTGATCAGTGATCTATACATTTAAAACATTGTCACTGTAAAAACAATGTTATTTAAGAATTAATCATTTGTTATATTATTATAAAATTTTTGAGTGAATAAACTTTCATTCATAGTATTGTTTAAATTATTGCTGTGCAGATATACATATTTATTATTATTGTTAACATTTATCTTTTCTTTTCGTTTTCTTATTATTTTTGTTTATCCTGGTACGCGCATACATAATTGTACTTGTGACTGATTTAGAGATTTTGATCTTGATTTTGTTAACATGTCAAAGCAAATGTTGATTTAATGTCTATCTCAATTGTTAAAAAGCACCAATAAAAAGAAAAAAAAAAGTACAGTTGTAAAGAAAAGATGTTTACTTTTCTTTTTCATAGACATTCTTATGTGTCACTGACTCATTCACAAAAGTCAATGCCTGATGTGAACCACACCTGGAACAAAAGAGCTCTCATAGCACCTAAGATTAAGAATTGCTGACTTGCATGAAGATGGAAAGCTGCCTTTAACCCAACTGAGACACTTCTACATGACCTTAAAAGAGCAGCCACACCAAAGATCCCAAGAATATTGTACAACCTAAACAGTTTTGTTAAGAGGAATGGTGTCTGATGCGCAATAAACGCTGGGCTTATCCCAAAAGGAGTTAACCTGTTATTAAATTCAAGGGTTTACATACTGTTTCCACCATGCACTGGGAATACTGACACAGTGTGTTAAATTAAAACAAATTATACTCACATATACTCTGTGTTATTAATTTAAGCAGACCATGCATGTGTATTGATGCGACTTGATCAGAATCCAGGTAAATCCAACATTCACATACTTTCCCCCTTGAACTTTTAGCGATTGAGAGTTTAACTCACTTAGCCAAGAGCGTGAATTCACTCCGCTGTCTGACTGCACTGTTGACAGCTCTGACAGGTTGTGCTCCATTCTGGAAAAGAACGAGAGAAAAACATTGTGGTGTTTTTCCAACTCATGCTACCAGTATGTACACAAACTCCACTAAGGGAGACTATATTATTGAACCTATTAACCACTTGCAGGTTACTTGACAATATGCATCAGTAGTTATCGCACCTGTCTCCCCTGCAGGGACTTGCACACAGACTGAAACTCACTGGTACGGTCTCGGCAGGACATGCTGAATGTGTCTACAACAGGGGCTATGGGTGCTGGGACAGCCAGGGGGGTTTCCAGCTGCTGGACCAGCTGGGACTGGGTCTGAGACGGCCCAGTGTACACCCCGTCCTGGCTGCTTCTAGGACCGTGTCGCCGACGTGCGTTCATGGATGCACCAACTCATCACCTTATGATAAGGAAATAGAAATCAATGTTAAAGTGTGTTAAAAGCAAAACTCCCTTCCAATTTTACTTTTTTTTCAGGATTCTTTGATGAATTGAAAGATCAAAAAACAGCTTTTACTTGAAATAACAATCTTTTGTAACATTATAAATGTCTTTACTATCACTGATCAATTTAATTGACACAGCTGTTTTGAATAGAACACGTCTAGAAACTTCTGCTTCTCTATTGCGGTCATCTGCGCAATGTCACTGTTTTAAAAACAAAAGAATGCGCTAGTGTGGCGGTATGTCATCTGCGTATCTCATTATTTTGCAATCATTTTCATACTCTTTTTATGAAAGCCAGCGCTTGTTAGCTGCTAAGCTAAATGTGTAGCTGAATATATGATTATAATGCTTTCATCGGTCAAACAATGAAAAACGTCCCACGCGTCTGAATACATGAATAAACGAGCAGCGTTGATTTGTGATTTGTGAAGGGGAGATGACAACATAAGAGCTGAAAGATACAAAGATTCATTTCTCACCACTCCGCCTCTCTGCTGATTGAACTGTGTGCAGGTTGTGAATAATATCCGGGTCTTAACACAGATATTGACATCACTGCCACGTATTCTTTAAAGGAGATCTCTTATTATTGTCAACACAAGGTGGCGCTGTGAAACTGTTTGAATTTAAGCTGATGCAGTGAGTTGAAGATATGTATGGATACTGACATCAGTTTTTTTCATCAAAGTAAAAGTTAAATTATCATGTTAAATTAGTCAAACACATGATTGAATTAAAATCTGTTATTAACGCAATCAAAACATAGGCACCAGAATATGTACCATGTTTGACATTCTTTCATCGTTTGTCCTTTCTTCTTTTCTTTTTCGGTTAGGGTTCATCTTATCAATTAATGCAATTGCTTACTTTTAGTAGAAGCAATGTCTGTTCTTATTTCGTCTTGTATGATGAATTTGCATTAAAAACAACTGAATGAAAAAAATGTTTTGAAAGTAACCGAAAGAGAAAAATAATTGTACTTAAGTGAACCACAAATGTTTTTCTTAAAGCAAAATGTTTTACATAATATTAAATATAAAAGTAATGTTGTTATTATGATATTTAATATATTAGTAATTTTATTCGTAATACGAATTCATTTAAATAACTTATATAAAATATAAGTAAATATAAAACAATAGTTAAATAAGCCGATTACAATTTCTGTGGCATGGACGAGCTGTTTCCAATAAGCATCATAGTTGGTCTCTGAACCTGTTAAGAAGAAAGAGAATAATAATAATTATTATTATCATCATCATCCTTAAAACACCATCAGAAGTCAACTCTGCCACATCTAAATGTAAATGATATAGATATATGCTTTACCAAGGTTCTATGAAATTATAAAGCAATCATTGCTTTTAATGTTAAGTCATGAACCTGTGCATTACCTGCATTGACACTGGCTGTGTTCAACAAACGGCAGCTCAATAATCTCTTCAACATTCTGCCCATGCACATTCATGGCAAGCTGCTTAAACTGTAATTTTGTAGTGGGAAAAAATAATAACATTTAAAAAATAATTAAATAAATAATAATAAAAAAGAGAAGAAAAACATATATGATGATGAACTGAATCAATAACATTGCCATACCTGCATCACAGTGGTGTGTGTGCTCACATTCACACACAGCATAGCCTCATCAGAGCAGCTGCAGAGGAACACATGAGGGGAAAACACCTCTGTGCATCACCTCTGTGCATCACCTCAGGGAATTCATGCTCAACTGGAACTAACGTTTCACGTGGTTTGCAAAGGCTGCTGACATATAACTTCATGCTAAAAAAAAATATACATAAATAAAAAAAATAAAAAACGAATGAAGAACACAATATAACAAAGACACGTAATATCTGAGTTCTCTAAGAAACATTGTTGAAAACAATTATGGTCTATTCAACTTGATTCCTATGAATAGTACTTATAAACAGACCAATGAGAAAGAGAGGGAGAGAGTATACCTTGAACAGACTTATGACCGATATTTTGATTGTGAGGATGCTGTGGGTTAAAGATACAACAGTTTGGTTCATTTCGAGGCTTATTTATTAGTGACTCATTAATTCCAAATGTTTTTTTAGTGTTAAGGCATTCCGTTTCAGAATTACCAACACGTGGAGTCACTACAAGGTTTGGCATAATCTGCACATAAACATTTTGTTTTTGTATTAATAGGGTGTATTGGCCATAAAAACAGAGAGACAGACCGAAAACTTGTACTACAAATTAAAATAGTTGTGTCCAGGGGCGTACATTTCGTCTAACAGTAGGGGGGGACAATAAACATAAAATTTCTCAAGAGCAATATTTGAAGTGGACACAAGGCACGCGGGGTGGCGGGTGGGCAGCATATTTTCTTAGCGATAGATGCTATTTATGCAATCCTCATAAGGCTGCGGTTCTCTCGGTTGGTTGTGCATCTTTTTCTTCCACACTTTTTCCTTCCACTCAACTTTCTGTTAACATGCTTGGATACAGCACTCTGTGAACAGCCAGCTTCTTTGGCAATGAATGTTTGTGGCTTACCCTCCTTGTGAAGGGTGTCAATGATTGTCTTCTGGACAACTGTCAGATCAGTAGTCTTCCCCATGATTGTGTAGCCTAGTGAACCAATTTGAGAGACCATTTCGAAGGCTCAGGAAACCTTTGCAGGTGTTTTGAGTTGATTAGCTGATTGGCATGTCACCATATTCTAATTTGTTGAGATAGTGAATTGGTGGGTTTTTGTTAAATGTGAGCCAAAATCATCACAATTAA